AGAAGAAAATTTTTCGTCTTTTTCAGCTCGTAGTTTTTGGTATGTAAAAATTATCAAACTCATATAAACTTAAAAAATGTGATAAGCTTTTAAAAGTAGAGATTTCAAGCTTTAAAACCCTTTTTTTAAATTTGAATTTTATTTATTATTGACGAAGATATTGTATATACAACTTTGAGCTAAAAAATACGCGATGACTTTTTACTCAACCTAATATTTACGTATTATATTAAATATCCAGTTTTTTCTGGGTGTCTGTAGTTTGAAAATTTATTTTTATGGCTGAAATCAAGTCTTAAGACATAAATAAAAATCACCAATTTTTCATTTGCTTTTTAGTATCAAATGCATCAGAACTAATGCGACAAAAAAATTTTGGCAGAGCACTTTGCGAGATTGAATGGAAGAGATGATCACGCATGTGCATGATCACAGACTGATAGCATTAAGTAAATGAAGACTTATGGTATTAGCTGTAATGATAACACGCACTGATTTAATCCTGTAGAAACATACTCATTTTATCAGACTATTTTCAAAAGTACTCGTCAAATACCTATAGACTTGAGATCTTCGTTTCGTGATATATAATTTTCTATTAATTATCATTGAAGAAAGCAAAATGAATTAATTAATGAAGATGTAGCGAATGATTGAGTTACAAACAAAATTAGTATATTTTTATATTTAAAAGCGCAAATTATTATGAATGTATTTACGTAACTGTTGAAATTGTTCAAGCAATATTAAAAATCCGGGAGTGTCAAATCTACATTTCTAAATTTAAAATTTTAGGAATATATTTATCAAACAGGTACATGAAGCTTCAAAATTTACACATCAAATAATTGACAAATTTAAAAATCTATTGAACAATTTTTTTAAACCTTATGTGATTCAACTAATATAAAAAAATTTGAGAACATCTTACAATCTTTAATTCTATAGAATCTGTAAACAGTGCTCTGCAAATCCGCTGATTCACGGATGCTTAAAGACAATTGTTTGTCTTCACGCTTTAGTTAAACAAACAGTAGTCAACAGTCCGAGATAAGCCGTTATCAATAACCGATGAGCATCTCGATAGGAGCAACGTAGGGACAGAATCTTTATCCTTACTTCCAATCACGTATTTGTGTCACGATAGTTATTAGCTTTTCTGGGAGGGGATTGAAATTTCATTGTTACAGATGGCAGACTAGACGTATGAAATACAATGACTGACATACAATTTTCTCTTAGACAATCAGTACACAAATAAATTGATTTTATAACTTAATAAATATTACACTATACTGCGCATAACTCCATACCTATGTATAAGCTTTGTGACAAACTTTCATGTATACATTAAAATTTAAAGGAGTTAAAGTGTGTATTTAATTGTACATTTTTACGATGATTTGAATAATTTATCACAACAATATATTGGGAATTGTAACAAAATAATAATTAGAATTGGAAAACTATATTAAAGCTTTTTTCTTTCTATTTTACGCTCAATTTAGAATTAAATTATTAAATAATCTTTTAAATATTAGAAAGGGAGAAGAAAAATAATCTATAAATTTTGTTTTAAAATTGATTTCTTTAATTATTATTTTATTCATCGATTTTTTGACTATATATTTTTTATTTTTTCTATATGTCAGTTTGTTGCGAAGCTAAAATAAATAACCGTTACGTATCTTTGTAATCTGGGACAAATTTCTTTCTTTAATTAATCATTTCGTAAAAATGATTATGCAATCGCGATATCAATAAGTCAGTGTAATGTAACTTTAACTTTTCACTTGTCGTTGATTTAAAAAGAGATTTATGTGATTGATTAACTTATTCAATACATTTTGAAAGTGTGATCGTGATAAATGATCATAAGTAATCGTAAATGATCGTAAATGATCGTAAGATCGTAAATGAAAATGTATAGATAATAAAATTAGTGACTCTCGAAATTAGGAATCTTCTTTAATCTTTTTAAAAGCATTTGATAGACACAAGTGATGGAAGATGATTGATTATAGACAAGCGTGTTACAATAAACACCACTTTTAAGAACGTTAGAATATAGTATGAAAGATATTTATCTGAAGAGATATTAAAAAAAATTTATCAAATGAAAATTTATCACAAAATTTTTAATAAGATTAATAAGGGATAAGATAAAATTCATTTATTTTGTCACTGAGAAAAGTTGGAGTAATAATTTAGATCGATAATCACATCTTACTTTTATCAATGCGCGCATTTGGCAAGTAATTTACGTTACATGTATTTATAGGGGAAGTTAATTAGGCAAAGCGAATAAGGTTTGGGAAGAAAAATGACATAGTTAAAATTAAGATCAGAATCTTTTTTATTCTCATAATTTTATTTTAGGAATCAACTTTGAAATCAAATTAAATTAAATTATAAAACTTGAACACTAAAATCTTTTTTTAATTAAAACGCGTAAATAAAGAGAAATTATCCGCTTTGTTCGACCCTCCTTCCCCTTAAAGCGAATGAGTTACCTTATTCGAACAATGAAAATGGAATAAAAAAAATCAAACTTAATCTTAGCAATCGTCACAAAAGTAGCTGCTGCCAAATTCTCTATATATAGTGCCTTTATGAGCCCATTTCGGACGATGGGTCGGTGTATTTTTCAAAACACATATCATACTGCGTTGTGGAGAAAAAACAAAAGTGAGATGTAAACAATCACGTGCCTTTCATTCACTTGAAAGGTTGCCTGTTCTTCCGTTTTTCCGGTATTTTCAGTGCAATCACGTACTAAGTAAAGAGGATGGGCCATTCGCTTTACCCTGATCCACTTTGCCTAAAGAATTTACTTGGAACGAATTTAGAAAAGTTAGAATAAGTTTAAGCAACAAGTGAAAAATTTTAACCTCGAATGCACATTGAAAGTCAGAGAATCTTATAAAAAATCATTCACACTGGTTAAGAAACAGTTGTTGCTAATAATTAAACTACATATCTTAGCAAAAATCGCAAAAAAACACACAATTTCTTTTATTTCGCTTTGCCTGGACTTTCCCTACTATAATATATCTCAAAAAGAAATGTGCACATTTAATAATAAGATAAATTATTAAGCATTATATCGATGAATAAAATTTAAATAAGTATTGGGACAATAAGTTATTTCTTTAATTCTTGTTCACATAGGAACGATTAATCGTAAAATCGTTACCGTATCGAAATTTTACGAATGTAGTTTCGATATATACACAAAATCATAACATCATAAATATTTAATATATTTTATGACTGTTACAAATTGCAATAATCATTAAACGATGCGGTTCCATTTACGGTATACACACATTATCACTGAATTATCTTATAATAAATTATTATTACAAATTATTTTAACAAAACATTAACATTAATTCTATCATACACTTTCCTCTCTAATTATAATCCTAACCGACGTTTATGGCGCATTTAGTGTTTAGCATAATTATGTATGTATAACAATTAACTTAATAGTATACGATGTTCCGACAAACTATATACATGCCAGTAGGTATTACATTTTGTAAACCGTTTATACATTGTATTTTATAGACAGAAATTTGAAAGCTATAAAGTGAAAATAACTCGCACTTGTTAATTATTGCAAATGATTGACATTTTTAATGACCGGAATAATTGAAAAAAAAAAAAAAAGAAAAGAAAAGATTTAATTATATTTTTTGAAGATTCTGATAGTTTTAAAATAATTTCAGATGTAATGTTTTGTTTTAATTTTTTTAAATTAAAACAATACATGTAAATTATTTTTTTATCGATATATTATCTCTTTATAAATTGGGCATAATAAATTGGGCATAATAAATTGAAAGAGAGTAATATTATTATAAATAGAAACTGTCATACAGAGCGCTTCCATCATGAAATTTTCAATTAAACGCCTTTATATAATAATAACAAATTCTGAATATAATAATTTTATATTTAGAATATTTATGAAAACTTTTGCGAATTCTTTCAACGACTATTTATAATTATTTAAAACTATCCGTCAATTACTATAAATATTTAATTAATTATTTTTATATTATGAAAGTCCAAATTAAATTATTACTATTTATCTGTATAAAAAGAAACGAAACTATAATTAAGCGTAAGAATCTCAATCAGTTTCTCCTTTTAACTTTGGCTTCTCTGGCTTTCAAAGTGTTCACGAAACTTTATGTAGCATACGGTAAACAAAGAAGATTGATGCGCGATGTATGGCACACGCTAAAAGGTTTAAATGCTTTGTACAACAGTTTCGAAAAGAATGGCGAGCCATTTTGCGGATAGTTTTCATCACTGTAAAATCATCTTTCACGGTCTCGCATCGTTTGTCATTATTCACTGACATCTGGGTGGATGAATGGCCGGCGTCGATGTCGCAATGCTGAAGATTTGACGACATCGCCATTCAAGGTTGTAATACTTTCGCTCGTCTTTATCAGCGGCTAAAGATGCGCCAGATTCGAAGCGCCGAGCGATTCGATGAATTAAACATTTTGCCTCTTTCACTGATACACCCGCGGCAGTCGCTCGCGGCGGGCGGGTGATGAGAAGATTCACCTGACGGTGTCTTCGTTCAAAGTTACGTCAAGTTTCCAAGCAGATGCTAACGAGATGTGTTATCGTATGGTTCATTCATATGTAAATCGTATGCGTATACGATATCTATGGCGTAAACTAGTTCTCTCAATCTTAATTTCTCTAATAAGCAGTGCGTATCCAACAATTAAAGCTTCAATATACTTTTTTGAGCAAATTGATTATTTCGAATAAGGATTTTTGAAAATAATTTAACATAACGTTTAACAAGAGAGAAATGAACGAAAGGAAGTCAACAATTCGCACTTGTGTATAAAACAATCCTTCTTCGGCAAGACAATGGGTAATCAGAAGTGAACATCAGGCAAGGTAGTCAAAGACCTTCGAGTGATCAACACATATTACGTAACACAAAGCTGACTTTGAAATCAACTTAACTTGTCGTGTTTTATTGTCGTCGCGGCGGTAATGTTCGTTCCATCGCAACGGAGTGCATTGTACCTCGATTGCAATCAATCCCTTACGCCTTGAACGAAGGCACTTTCAGACACATTAAGCTTGCGCTCGTAATTGCGCGGCCCGATAATTCGGCGATGCATTTCGGTTACGTTTTCACGGATATCTCTTCAGGGTATCAGTAGATGCGTGATATCTCCGAATTCGTATTTTCCTAGGAGGACGTGGAACAGATCTCTCATAGTTAAATGATGAATCGTCTCGTTCACGTGGCTCGCTACATAATCCTGAATCGGAGGCAATATATCCGGTTTAATGACGTCCAGTGCTTCCGGTGTTAAATCTTCGAATACCTGTAAACCGATATGTCGACTTTATAATCGAACTACATCGAGTTTAACTCATCGACGCGTCAGATCAAATTTATTTTGTAGTGATTTTATTTTGTTGAAATTTTGCGTCAAAGCAAAATACTTGATGTCGAGTGTTATTTAACTTGAAATTTGAGTATATCAAAAATATAGACAAAATGTATGACATATACAGTTACGTTATAGTTAAAATTGTTGTAATTTTTTACTATCAGTAGATTATTAATAGGATAAATATAAATTATTTCATCTTTTCAAATGCATATCAATAATAACTTAATTGCCACAAAATTGAAAATCAGAGAAATGTCAGAAAATGTTACAAAATTTTCTGGAAAATTAAAATTCTTGGCTTTAAAGAAGTATATTTAATATGTGTGTATACATTAATATATATACATCTACGCAGTTTTGAAATACTGCTAACTTAATAATTAAACACAAATAGCGTTAGGAATATTAACAGTAATTTACATTACTAAATATGTTAAATTGCTCTCTTAACAAAATATTTGGTTACCCAAATCAGACCGAAAATACAAAAAAGTTTTAAAATATTATTGAAAGCATAAGGAAAAATCATAAAATTTTATCTGAAAATCAGGAATATTATGGAATTTTAGGATGAGAGGAATTTGTGACAACCCTGAATAATCTGTAATTCATTGCAATCATTTGGAGGCAATCAATTAGTGACACGTGTTCAAATCGACAGTTGCGCAGTCAAGATTTACGTTGTTGCCGAGGTGAAACACGAACGAATCGAGCAAGCCATTAATATTCGACAAGCAACATGGAATTTCGGTTTCAATGGCCGGATAAACGCGACCTCGCCCCACTGATGTTTGTGCGCATCGCGAATAAAATTGGATATTGAAACGTGGTCGTAAAAAGTTTCTTATAATATATATTACATTGCAAGATCGCAACTGATCGTAAAATGAACTATTCTTTGAAACGCTACGATTTGTAAAAATCCCATAAGTCTCTGTAGATTATCATGTAAAATTGCATTCATCTTTATGACCTACAGATATTACAAAGGATACCTTTGGTAAGGAATTTTATTTTTTTCTTAATTTATTTAAATGTTTATTTGAAAGGCAACTTTATACATCTGATTTTACGTATTTTTTTTTTTAAGATATATTCTGTAGTTATTTTAATATTTAAAGATATTTTAAAAAGTCTCTCTCAATGCATCCTTTGTATGTATTTTTTGTCTCTATATATCATTTAATTGGAGGAATACGTTATTTGTTAACATTTGTTTTGTATCAAAAAAGATTAAAGAAAACATTTTGATAAAATATTTTGATAAATAGAATGTAAATAAAGTCATATAAACTGATTTTTTTAATATATCATTTATATCGTTGGGTAGCTAAAATTTAAAACAAATTTGAAAATTAGTGCTTATTCGCAAGCAATCTGATATGTTCAAATTCTATTTTTATAATAAATTTTATATAATAGATACACTTTGATTACAAAACAATATCCCAATATTAAAATTTTACATGATATTTAAAGATTAAATATTAAACGAAACACTGTATACTTTCATTTATCACAAGAACTCTCTATTGAACAGAACTCTCTATCCAGTTATTCCTCGTCTATCTAAATAGACGAAGATTTATTCAAAGAACAAAACATGCTTATTAGTCTCACCTTGCTCATAATTTGTCCGATTTCTTCGCCGCCCATAAAGTTTTCTAAATGCATTTTGATAGCGCGCAGCGAAAAGTCGAGGTCAAACTTCTTCAAGTACATTCCTCTGGCATAGCCCAGCACGGTGTTCACATAAATGCGGAAGTCGCGTACAATTGTCTGAAATGAACCCGCACCGCGTAGTGGATACGTATCGCCCAGGATCCCGGAAATGTTGTAATGGCCTGAAGCATAAATCTCGGGTATGGAGATATTGATGGTGATGGTAGGGCCGATTAGCGATAACTTAGCTCGGTCGATTAAGAAAGTCGATAGGTTTCTCAGTTCCAGGTTTTCAATGACTAAGGATATTCTGTAAAACAGATTTACAATGTGATATTTTACACGTTTTGTTTGCGGAAGTAACGTTGCGATCGCAAAAGTCGATATCTTTCACATCCAACTGGAAGCATAGAAGCAATAATTTGAATATTTAGATAGAAAATACTTCCTTGAAAATACTACAATATCTTTATGAGCGGTAAAATGAAAATGTATATATGGATAGTGAAATCAATAATTGGAACTGGTATAATTATAGTTCTCGATATTAAGAGAAAATAAATTTAATGAAGTTGTAACATTATTAACGAAATTATTTATAATTTCTATAGTGTGTTTTCTAAAACTATATCGAGGCGAGATTTTCTTTGTTCTAAGTCTCTGAAATCCGGTATACACGATCGTGTATTCATCCAATGACTCACTTTCCGATTTCTGGATTATCCGTGTCGATGTCAATCTCGTCGAGAGTGAACGGCTCCAGCGGAGGTATACCCAGCTCTGCAATACCGTTGCGCATCCGAGTACGGAATTTCTCTAGAAATCTTTTCAGCTTGAACTCGAGACCCATTGAGGCTGCATTGTCAACTGTCCGATTCAAAGAATAAGTATAAACGCAAATAGCTATAAATACACTGAAAAATATAAAAACTAAATTTATCTAATATTGTTTGAATGATTTCAAGTATATATTTACTAAATATAAAGATACTTATATTTATTCGGCACAAGAATTGAACTATTTTTATTTTTTTGTATTGAATAAATATTTTTTTACTGTAAATGTTTACACACATTTAATACTATTTAAAATAATATTAAGATTAATATTAAGATTAATATTAAGATTAATATTAAGATTAATATTAATATTCGTTTTTTTTAAATGTATTTAGTATTAGCTGTGCGCGGTACTTACTATAACCAGTCGTCATCCTAGTAGCGTTGAGCAATAAATTTCTCGGCTTCTCTACCGCGCTGGTAACTACAATCAGAAGACGAAAGTATTTCTCTTTATTTGCATTACCGTTTATTTCATTTATATTATCGCTTGTTATTGCTGTTGCTTATTATAGACATTAACTCTTTCAATGCCGCAAGAACCGAGCTTCCTGTGTGTTGTTATGTCATCTCTGAGATTTATTTATATTACGCAAAATTACATCTGTTTCGTGAAACAGTAAGCTTTATTTAATCTCATGTGAGAATTAATAGAAAATTATTGCATATATAGTAAAAATTACATATCTTGATTCAATTCAGCGATATATATCATGCGTGAATATATAAACTAAACTAATTTTCTTAATTTTATTTAAAAACAAATTATTACTTCTTTTAATGAGAAATTAATTAAAAAAATTTTTTTAAACAAATAATAAAAATAATAAAATCTTTTTTTCATATAAGTATTTATTGAGAATTTATTTGTTGTTGAGATGCAAAAATGATTTGTTTACTTTCGAATACAATAGAAATGCAATAGAAACTTGCATTTTAAGATTAATCGAGATATTAGATTTATTATAAAATAGGTACAAAATATAAATTTTTAAAATATTATTTTTATTAAGAGAAACATAATCAAATTTATTGTTATTAAAATTAAATAATATATTAAAATTGCGAAAAAGTATTGCCGAGAAATCAATCAAAACACATAGGTTTCTCAGCATTGAAAGAGCAAAGATAGAAGCACGGAAATAGTTTTAAGCGGAATATAATGAGATCATTAATTAATCAGCATTGTGACGATCTCTCGATGTAACCGTCTCGATCTTTGACATCTGCCATTTGCATTTAAATAGAATACGTTGGGAGACTTTAAATTTAATGTTGCGAGTTCAATGAAATATTTATTATTTTGTTGTTTGCTTTTAACACTATACTTCGATGATACATTATTGAGAAGATTTAAAATGTATATTACGAGTGATATATTGTATCATTAATTGTCCGAATTAGGTTGTAACTCTTTTCTTAATCTTGTAATAGTTGGCAATTCTCTCGACGCAGATTAAAAATAGCGTGCAGTTGTTTTCTATCGAGAAAAGAATGTCTGTTAATTATTCCGAGTGCCTGCATATATTTTCATGCACATTTTTCAGACTTAAGTGGTAAATATCAGTTATCCTGACTATAATTATGCAAACTGAATTATTAAAAGGTATTATTTAGATTGTCAAGTTAATCTCTCTTATAATTAGTTTTTCTCATTAACTATCCGGTCAAAATTTATAAGTAAAGTTATTTAATTTGATTATCTGAGAACGTCATAAAAAAACGAAACACAACTTCCAATACTATTTGCTCAAAAAGGAATTAAGAAACGATTTGGGTCACGAGCTTCTGCAATTACAAGCGTATCGCTCCGTAATAAAGAGAAATGCAATCCCTTCTCAATCAAAAGCGTCGCGTCACGTCGCGTTATTACGGATCGAATTACTGCATTACAGTATTTCTCTGCTACGTATGTATATTTGCATCTCTGAGGTTTGCGTTTGTCGACTCCATGCGCACTCGAGAATTTACGTTAACGCGAATTACGTTCTTCAACGTTCTGCGGAAGTGATATTAGTCGCTAACCTTTTAGTTCTCGTTCATATTACGATCTCTCTCTTGAAATTTTCACATCATTCACTGTATAAATTTCACAAAATAAAAAATAAAATTAAAAGTAATTTTCGATTGTTCCAACAGAAAATTATATAAGTTATGTATAATATTTTCTATTAACGGCGTAGAAATTAAGAATTCTAATTTTAATTCTGAACATCTGAATTAAAATTAGAATTCTTAATTTCTACGCCGTTAATAGAAAATATTATACATAACTTATATAATTTTTTTTAAATTAAATTTAAGAAGTTAAGTTTAAATATTTGCTATATTATAGTATAAAAAATATATTTCTTTCTAATTACAACAAAAACATGATACAATTTACACAAATAATAAATTAATAATTGTCAATAGCAATATATTATCTATATATTAAAAAAAGAAAGAATAGTTGTAGAATTCTGAAGCCTTACTCATATAAAAAAAGCGTATCTATCAATATTGTTTTATCTTATCAACAACTATACGCATAAGCTTTCGCAAATTTTCAAAAAATTTAAGTATTTGACATTACATACTAAAAAAATTTGTTTTTCCTAATTAAGCTCATTATGTACTTTATATAAATAATAATGTAATAAATCAATAATAGTCAATAGCAACATATTGAAAAATTGTTTTTCCTCATTAAGCCCATTATATACTTTATATAAATAATAATGTAATAAATTAATAATTGTCAACAGCAACATATTAAAAAAATAAAGAACGGTTGTAGGATCCTATGAGCCTTCAAATAAAAGCGTATCGCAACATTGTTTCTTTTATTAACAGCTATACGCATAAGCATTTGCAAATTTTGAAAAGCCCTGTCTTTTTTTGCTTTTCTTTCTGAAAGCTGCGCTGAAGCCGTACTAAGCGTAAAGAGAATGCATAAGCTTTTGAATAAACATTGCATTTTATGCGAACACATACTGTAGTCCGCGGCAGTGTCCGTAACGCGATGCAATAGTTCTTTTTGCCGTTGCACGACTCCCGTTACTGTAACAAATGATTACAAGTCACCGAGGCATCCTAACAAGACAAAACCGATTAGTTAATACTTGAAAATATAATTAAAACTTTCTGCAATAGTTATCACTAATACTTAAATAATTAATCTAATAATTATTATGATGTAATAATTAATATTTGTGCACAATATAAATCTTTGTTTTTTAGGAACAATAAATGTACAAAAATCGATTTCTTTGTGACATATTTGTGCTAAGGATGTAGGAAATAATATTTTCAAAATTAGATCAAAGAACAAGACGCGATCTATAATTTTCTGTTAAATTCTTGACGCGTTATTAATGTAAATATACATTATGTTATCTGATATCGTATAAGTGATGTATATGTATAAAATATGTTTTACACGTTCCGTATTTCGTGATCGCACTTTTCTGTATTCATTTCATTCATCCAAAAATAGATTATATTCTAGACTACATAAATACTTTTACTTTGATAGTAATGTCTATCATGCAATATAAAGGATGTTCGCCAGCTTCGTGCACGTTTGGTAATCAAGGTACCTTTATTCGCACGTTAATTAAACCGTTTGTTGGCGGCGCACTGATTATGGATGGGAAGATCGACTACCGTGAATCCGAGATTCGACCTTCTGGCCGAAACCAGTTAAATGTATCCGGCGGTTGTAATTTGGTAATTAAATGATTAAAGGAATTTTAAACAAGGGCTTTATTTCATATATAACAACAAACAAATTTTAGCGCAACAATCGAGAATGTCGGTATGATTAATTAAATGATTAATCAAATTTCAAGCAGTATTTCGTTCTATTGTAACATTAAAGGGGATCTTACACGCATTTACTGCAATTTACATTAATAGATTATATGAAAAAGGTTTGATAAAAAGTAGTCATCGAATAAAGTGATTGCGCTCTCGTCGGATTGCATTCGACCAGATCTGTTGGAATGTAAATGTTTTTTAGTGATTTAACATCGGTTACAATTTGTTACGTTTGAATTGCTACGCTCAGATGAGCTTTGGTCAACGTACCAGCATTGCGTATAAAAAATCTCGCGTTTTAGTTTCACTTTTTATAGTGACGTAATATTTGAATGTTGCTAGCAGCAATAATTTTATAGTTATCATTTTTTAATCGCGCAACGTTGTTATGTAAATGATACATGTTGTTGACGGTTAAATATAATATTTTAATTGACGTCTTTTAACAGACGCTTCGTGATATCAAATTTAATTTGATTCAAGGTCAAATTGGAAAAAAACATACTAATAGTGCTCTTTATATGTTTCGCAAATATTGAATAATACGTCGCTTATATTAAATGGTTATTACAGACAAAAGTACTTTCGATTGAGGTATTATAAAAAAAATAACAAGTTATTTGCCATTATAATTTTTTTTCTGACATTGTTACAAAAGTCATGTTAATGTAAACTAATGTGACTTTCATGAAAAAGTCATATAATGCAATAACAAACTTTTTTTTTTTTTTTTAACAACGTATGTGCGCGCATAATTTTTATATCATTATGAATTCAGTGTGCAAAATAACATATATCTATAAACACGGATGTGACTAATACCGATGTTATTGAATAAAGAGCATCTTTTGTTTGTCTTATGAATTGTAGAAATCTCACGTTATTAGCGGATATTTTTATTCCGTATGCGTGTGAAACATTCTGCTTAAATCTGAATCATCACTGTTTCTGCGCACAAGCATGCTAATGCGTTTTTTAACGCTAGTAGTTCATGACAAAACAACGATATCCTTTGAATTCTTTGATATTCTTTATTACCAATTCAATCAGAATCTGATCATTTATCTTCCGAAATAATAATTAAGTCCTTGAAGGAATCGTTTCTTATTTTGAATTACTTAATCAAACTTAATTTCTCTTACTTGGAACTGCGACATTAGAGATGATAGATTTTTTTACACGAGACAGTGCGCTTCTGTTAGATATATTTGTATTTATGAGAATAATTTATATTAATAACGTTTTTACGATCATTATAAGTATAAGTTATATCCTTTATTATGAATTCGACACGGCAGTCCGAATAGTGAGAGTTTATCTACTTGTTGAACTATATTTCCAAGTAATTACGTAATATCGTAATGTCATCTCGGATATTTATGTTAAAATACAGTTATCGAATATACCTTTGTAATATTGTTCTTCTCTGAAACATTTATTAATGCAATTTGCATTTTCATAAAAACACGCCAGTACAAAGCATTTGTCATTTCACAGTAGATGATATGTATAAATTATTATCTAAAAGGTCGATCGAAGTGGGATAATGTAAAGTTATAATCTATTTGTATAATCTATTTTGTATACGAGTATATATGATTAAAAATTTAGGTCACTGCATACTATAATAAATTTATTCACATTAATTTATACGAGATATTTATGCAAATTAGTAGTAATCGACCGCAATATTTCGAATTTTTGCGGCTTACGTGATTCCGATTCAAGAATTATTTAAATGGTATGACGATTTAAAGACTTCATGTTTTACTTCCATCAATCAAATACTTTTAACCGCTGCATTGGCGAGGAAAGGCCTTTTCAAAGCTCTCTAATATCGTTATCTAACATCTACCTACTTAAACTTTCCATCCATCGCCTCATCCTTAATTGATACCGTTGTATCGTTGTATTTACGTTTTCACTTTCATTGAACGCTGACGATACAGTGCTTCTCTGTTCAAGCATCATTATTTATTATAACATCTAGATTCCTAAATGCCAAAAAATTTATTGCTCTACTTGTCTAACGTTCATAATTTAAGTCACTCGGTCATAATATTTAAATTCTTTTAAATAAATTCAATTTCGAATTAATTGATTTTCGATTGGTATGATTAAATAAACCAAGTCGACATCACGTCGATACTTAAGATACCATCAGAACGACTTCTCTCGTCATCAAAGTAAATAAGTAATTCTTATTACATCTTACGTTAACATAATCAATTCAACTTACGCGCGACATAAAATTAAAGATGTTAAATTACTTGACGATGAAATTCGAAATTAAATGCTACGACATTTTCTAGTTGTCAATCCATCAAATCCATCATACAGATAAATTCTCCATTATTTCATAGTTACATAAAACGCATAGTATGTAATCACATATAATAATAATTATTTATTACGCTAATATTAGTTATTAATAAAAATTATTTTTGTAATAATTAAGATACACATTAATTAATGTTAATTTTTATTTAAATATTTTATTTAGTATATGATCATACAGGAATGAATTAATCTATTACAAGCAGCAGTTCAGAATGAATTAAGTTTAAAATACACTCTTCGATCGTTATTGGAAGTAGCTACAAAGATAACTTATTTTTATAGTACACGCAAAAAAATATTTTGTTGCTCCAGTTATTGAAGTTAATTATTGCTATTTTTTGTATCTGATAAAAATTTATGCATCATACGCATAGAATTTATAGCACAAATCTAAATTCTATGTCATTTATATGACTAGATGCAATACATATCCAATATCGCAGTATTTGCTAGAAATTTATTTATTTTAGCTAATTTTTCGTACTTAAATAATTTTCGCTATAACTGCAAGATTACTTTTTTAAGTGTATTGATTCTATCGTATCTCAATTTTTAATTTTAAAAAACAAATTTATTATATATAAAGATAAAAATTAAATAATATTAAATCTTATAGGATCACATATATGTGAAAATCACAATCTATCCCTGGTGGAAAAATTTCGCTGAAATTATTTCACGTTTTTTTTTAAACACTTTTCAATTTCAGCAAAATTTCATAAAAATTTCCGTTTATTTTCAAAGAAAGTTCAGTGATTTTTCAATATGTTAGCTGAAAAATTCACTTTCCGTGAAATTTCAGCAAATTTTCAACAATTTCGCTGAAATGTTCCAAAACGTAGAATAATTTCAGCGAAATTTTTTCACCAGGGATAGAATCAAATGTCTAAATGGTCTAACTGGCTCTTAAATGCTCTTGTATAATCCTCTGTGAATGTATATTCACTACGTAGTCCTTGTGCGCTCCGAAATGATTTTTTTTGGTATTGAAACGCAAACTATATTAAACTTACCGCAGTAATATCACGATAAAAATTAAAATACTGATTACTAATTTTTTAAATCTTTACCTTCTTAAATTTGCTAACATTTTTTACATAAATATGTAAATTATTCTAAAAGTAAATAAAACTTGGCGATTAATTGAAAGATTGACATAGCGAGGTCGACTTACGGAAATTAGTTGCGGTATTTGCGACGTTACCAATTCCACCGAGCAGGCTGGAGGGCAAGGGTTCGGCCGGCGATGCGTGCACTACCGCCACGACAAGGGCGATACGCATCATCGTCGGGACTTGTCTCGTTACACGACACTTCATCGTTTCACGTGTGACAGCTTCTTAGATAAGATCGCCGCGGAAAATACGGAAAAAGAGACCGATCCGCTCTTCTGAGAGCAGGAAAGCTGACTGACAAGATGAAAAACCGACGTCGCGTTGGTAGCGCTTGCTGCTACACGAGTCACTGCCGCTCCTGGTTTGTACGCGCGTGCACGTGCGTATGTAGAAGTGCGAGCGTGTCCAGCGAAAGTGAGCGCTCGTGCACGCACGCGGGTGCGCCGTTCGCATCGCGGTTTACACGCTCGGTTCAGCTTCTCGCGCCGAATTGAGCTCGGATGATTGCTCCAAACCAAGAAAAGATCTTTGTTGTTGGAGAATCGTAGATGTCTTTATACTTTTTGCGTGGATATTAGCAGAATTCTTTGAATTCTTTACTTGTAATTTATTTTTATTAAACCGTGATATTTGCTGTAAAATGTAATATAATTTAAAATATTTATATGTCCGCAAATCTTTCGCAGTCGTTCATAAAATTTTCGTTTGACCGACGAGCATGATTTATACGTGATATTTAAAAAAAAGATGAATATATATATATATATATATATATATATATTGATGTACACATCAACATTATATAATAATTTCCTACTCAATGTAACTGTTGTGTACAACATGTATTATATTATGTTTATATTGTTGAGTTTATATTGTGAGAAATTATGATATTGATGTGTAATATTACTGTTAATTTGTCTTTATTATATATATATAATAGATAGTTTTGTTGTTGGTCGCGGTTATTGTTTCATCATTATTTTATTAATATTTACGAAGAGGATTCTTTCATGAATCGATTTGGCTTATCGATTAGGTGGTAGAATGCACAAAAACACGACCGATTGACGCAACTTCGTACGTATTATTACAAAATTGATGACCGGTTTTGGTGAGAGATAGAATTAAAAAGAGATGAGAGATCAGAGTTAAACTGGGACTAAAGTTGACCGACGCTGGTGAAATCAGCCGCGTATAACACACGTGATTTTCTTATAGTCACCACTTAACGTATACTTATCTGGATATAATGTTTTTCCTGCTCTCACAAGTGCATGGATACGCTTCCACGCGATATCGAATTATCCTGCGACATAAGTGAATGGGAATCTATTATTAGTGCGTTCATGTGTTACGGATGCCAAGGATCACGCCAATTCGATTCTGGTTGTATATACATGTATATAGGGTGTCCTACAACTACCGTAATATCCGAATTGCGTATTAAGAAGATGAATTAAAATTGAAAGTTAATCGATACGAAAATATTAAGGTCACGCCAGTTTTTGAATTAATTTACAGATAGCGATCTCAGTGTAGCTTAAATCTATAATTTATGCATTTGCGTGGCACTTTGCTACTATCAATTTTTACAACACAATTATTGATATTTACTGTGTAACTGATTTTGCCTTTTACTTTTTTTTACATAAATACTACCTACATACTGTATCAATTAATAATGTGGAGTTGGTTTTTTGATATTTATATTCTGATTATTTAATATAATTTTTTAAAATACTTTTAGAAAGTGTAATTAATAATTCTTTGTAATAATTATTATTTTCAGTTAATTATTTTCATGTTTATTAAAAAGAAAGGATTAAATAATTTATATGTAAAGTTTGCTTTTAATACTCTATAATTTATGCCATATTTCAGGATAAAATTATATGTACAATTTTGTATGTACTGTATTTTTATGTATGAATATATATTGTATATTGTATATATGCAATATATACAATATATTTTGATTTTTAATGTTTTTCGTATTATTTAATTGTAAGATATAAAATATCATAATTTAACATTATAAAGAATTTTATTTTGATTTTGACACAAATTACAAATTGTTTAAAATACATTTAATAATAAATGCTTTTATTTATGCACGCATGTTGGTATATTACAATACTATCTTATTATACATTATATACTAATATATTACTATTTCTCGAATAAGAATTTTAAAAAATACTACAATATCTCTAATTAAATTTTTAAAATTTCCGAGCGGAATTTATCATTATATCAGGTTAGGTAAAACGATGCGTAAAATATACTGTATAATACATAATGCCATTCGATATTAATCTGTAACGTAAAAAACTGGACATTTAGTTCATCACGTTAAATATTTTATTGTGATATAATTAAAATTCTAACGTACGGCAAATGTTCCGAGTTGTAAAAGTATTTTGTACGGTGTTTTCTGATACCGTAAAGCCTATTCTACAATGTGCTCTTTATTTTTTGTTTCTTACTTTTTGCCTCTTGCTTCTTCCTCCTTTGAAACCGTTTTATCGACAATTGTATTTCTTGCTACGTGTTTCCTATTTCTTTCGAAATTTGTTAACTTTTATCTCCGGCGACATAAAACAAAAAAACCGGATAAGAAGCAAAAAGACAAGATGTAAAAAATAACAAAAAGCAAGAAACAGAAAACAAAAAGCACATTGTAGAATAATCATAATTCGGCGAACTTAAGCGTATAGGTCGTCTGAATGTTATCATTCGCAGACTCGAGCAGCTGATTTCATGCGTTTTGGCATCATCGGTGCGCCATATCGACACACTCCCCACAAATATATCATAAGAAAATATGATTATCTTTCGTAAACAATTATTTTCAATTATCTCCAATTCAACGCGATTGATTAGCTTCTACAATTTGCGATTCGCAAACGTAAAAAGTGACTTATCGAGAAGGGTATTTCACGCGATTTATTCCTTTGAAATAGAGGTCTAAATGTTAGAACAGTTAAGAATTATTATTTTGTTATTTATAGACGATAGTTATTATCTTTTTATACTCGCGAATGTTTCTATCGATTCCAGTTTTTCTATCAATTCCAATGTAATTCATCCACTATTTTTGAAATTGGGAGTGCGAAATGATACGCGAGCAGCTAAATCGAACGATTGAAGTAAGGGAAAAACGTGATGTATCGACCCTGTTCGTTAATAATAACCCGTATATTTCGCAGGCAAAATATATTGCAATATTGAATTTTGATTACACATTTTCGAACATTGCTTAATTGGTTATCAACTCGACTTTATTTATCACGCAGATTGAAGTTGCCATTTTCGCGTATATCGCTGATTTGTTAAAACACTTCGCTGATTCATTTAGTGTGTAAATATGTAAGATATTGTAGGTTTGGAACGGATTGTAATTTTTATTGTACTTTTCTCACATTAGTTTTTTATCGTTACGTAATCGAATGGTAGTTGCGTGTGATTAACATCGAATGGTTGTTGCGCGCGAATTGTTGTATTCTTTATTATATTGAATAATTAGCAATTGTAACAATTGCATTTTTACGAGTAATGTGAGTGCAACGAATCTGACGACTTCAAAAGAAAAGAAAGCTTGGGAAAGGTATTTGATGATGGCAGAGCAACCATGAAGTATTTAAATATAATAGTTGATTCATGTAATTATTCAAAATTTAAAATATTAACTACTTTTATATGTATAAGGCGCTATTATATAATTTGAACATTCTACATTTGTATACTGCAGAACAACGTATGTTGTTATAACGTAACCTGCAACTCTGCTTGTGCGTTATATCAATTTTAAATTATTTTTTATTTCGTGATTGTGACGAATCTGTAAAAAAAATTTACGATTGATAAAAAATGTTGACTTGTGCCACTTTTTACAGGGATATGTATTAAAATTAATAAGATAAGAATATAAATATAGGGCATTTTATATTCGGTATTTTAAAATTAAACGAATGGGTTATGACAGATTGGAATGAATATTTAGTTTTAAAATATTTTCCATTTTGGTTGTTTTAATGTACATTGCCAGTGCTGAAAATTTGTACTATACGTAACGTCACCTAGAAATGTTCAGTACTGATATATATTAAATACCTTTGTTTATCAATTTATTGTACATTCGAGAATGCATGCAGAGCTTACAGAATTGAGGTCGTTGCTTTAATTAATTCTTACTGACACATGTTCGTGATTTATGACAGAATACTGATTGAAATATATGAATTTAGGAGATTATAATATGAATAAAAAAATGATAAAAAATGTTTTTTAATTTTAATAATTGCAAATAATAAAAAAAATTTCTATTTTGGAGATTGAAATAAAAATAACTTTATTTTTCAAATATAACAATAATTTTTAGTAATATAATGGATCAATTGTTTAAATTTTTAGTAAAAGAAGCATTAGATAATTTGAATATGTTATTAAAAATATGCTATTATTAAATCATCAATTTATTAATATTGTTGTAATATTCTGATACATGAAACAATTGAACATCTAATTAGTAATATTTAGCTAAATAGCTAAATATAATTATAATTAGCTATATAATTATAATAAATATAATTAGCTAAATAGAACATTTTAATATTATCTAAATAGAATGTGAAAACAACAAATAACATATCATTAATACCTAATAGATCGATACATTGTGTGTATGCACAATTTAGAAACTAAATTCGCAAATTGTATATAGTGCCATTAATAAATCCTTTATTATTTATAATTTGGAAGCCTTGTGATACTTTTGTATTAGAATTCTTTCGGTTCTAATTTATCTTTAGGATACGTTGCTAAAATATTGTGCGTTAATTATCGAACACTCTCTATACAATTCATAGCGAAAGTGAAGGTCTGTATAAACTTATGTAGTGTTACGGTTTAGTGTGCGGACTGATGTAGTGTTACGGTTTAACATGTTATGATCTATCACGCAAAATAGTCCGAAGATGATGAAGATTTATTATTATTGGCGGAAGTGTTAATACAACCGAGCTAATTATTGTTATCGAATTGTTGGATACGAATGGAAATGAAAGCCTAATGCAAACACTTTATCGCCTAAACGTTATAAATACACGGAGGGAATTTCTTCTTAGAATTTACCCTGAAAATATGGTAGTCCTGGAACAACATTGTATTTCGAAGAATTTTATGTAAATTTCTCTTATTCATTAAAACTATAATAAAATAAACAAATATAAAATAAGTTTGATTAATTTTACTGAAGTACATGGTAAAAATCTTTAAAATATTGTATTGTATCACAACTACCATATTTTCAGGATAAA